AAAAAAATGGCAATTCCTGTGACCATCTGAATATGTTAGATAAACTTGGTGATGTTGGCAATTTATGCGACCAGAAAAGAGAAGGAAGCAGGAGATCAGAAAAGGGAGAGATGCCTGAGACAGTTGAATTCTGATTCCTGAGACATCGGACAAGGCCAGGTGGACAAATGAAGCCTAGGGCAGGCAACCAGAGGTGCTGCGGCTTTGTGGTGTCCTTTCCCTCTCACCCTGGCTCCTGGACACTGGCAAGACTTTATTTTCCCTTCTCTCTTCTTTTTCAATAAACTGGTTTACACTCAATGACAGGAAAAACATTAGGGGAAGTCTTGAGACAGTACTTGTATGCGGGGCCTTTTGGTACCTCAAGCCCTCAGGTGGAAAGGAGCAGTCAGGAGCTGCTTCACCCACTCAGCCACTTCTTGGACCCTGAAAAAGCCCCACACCTGCTGCTGCAGTTCAATCAGTGCCGTTTGTTTTCCTTCCTTCTGGTTTGTTCTACATGTGTTTGTCTTTCTCCCTTTTTTCCCCTTCTCTCCTCTTTGCTAAAATATCACAAGGGAGATAGCGCTCTCCAGTGGAGAACACTGGGAGCCACCAGAGTCCTGAGAAGCAACTCTTTTACATCTCTGTACCTTTTTCCTCTTTCCTCTTATCTCTGCTCTCACTCCTTAGTCTCTTTCAATCCGAATATTCATCTGAGACATGCCTCAAGGGACCTAGCAGTTTAACAGAGAAATACACCCCACCCAGCCTGTAAGAACCTCCCAGTGGACTTGATCTCAGTGGGTTGCTGGAGGCTCAGTGCTCCACAGGAGACACTGGAATACCATTAACTGAGACATCGGAGTCCATCCTACACAGTGGGGTGGTGCTGTTAATTAGGAAAAATATTTGCCTCATATAAATGTTTCCACAAAACTGTAAATAAAAAACAAGCTTGAGAAAACTCGGAAAGGAATATAAATGATATTTCAAGGCTGAAAATATATTTTAAAAAATATACTCAAACTTATTTAAATAAAGAAACTGCAAATTACTCAATGACCTTTTTTTCCTAGCTTATTAGC